GGCTGGGGGCACCAGGGAGGGCAGTGAAGTCTCCCAATAGAAGTCATAGTTATCATCAAGAGGGAGAGCTCCCCCATTTTAATGGGGAAAGTAGATCTAATTTGGGGTCTGAGGTGGTCCCTCCAGCCCACAATATCGGGAATCTTGTCCCCAGTGCTCAGGCCAGGGCCCCAACTCCTTCCCAGCATGCAGTCACCCACCGGGCCCCATGCTCCTCCCCCAGATCATATCCCTCCGCACCCTTTTCCTGCAGCCTCTGCTCCAGCCAAAGCTAGTGGCTTCCCAGTCCTTGTCCTGAACTGGGAGTTCCCTCCTCTGGTCTTGGGTCCTGTCAGTCCCTCACCCAGAATGGCCTTGATCCCTCAACAACCCTTCCTCACTCGCCTTCTGCATCGCCACATGTGCAAGCAGCTGTTCCAGACCCAGCTTAAATGCTTCCCCTTCCCTCCTCTTCCTCCTCCTCTCCCCCTTTAACGAGGGCTTCCCTGACCTCTGCAGCTCAGAAAGCTGCCGTCCTCTGAACAGGCTGCAGCTCACACCCTCACCCCTCAGCACACCCTGGCCCTCCTGTGTCGGCAATGTCCTCCATTATACCTGCACACGTTTCTTCTCCCCTTATCAGACTGTGAGACCCTGGTTTGCCTTTTAAGCCCCACCCTGCACCATGTGCCGTAGCAGCAATGCTAGGAAAGAGCACATTTGGGAAGTAGGGGACCATGGGCAGCCCCTCTTGCTTCCTATCTGTGGGCTGGAGCCGGACTCCCCAACATTTGCTGGAGAATGAGGCCAGCCTCCCTCTGGGGCCTCAGAAGATTCCCTGAGCTGGGAGGGTGATGGAGGGAGCATGGGCCGGGGCTCTTGATTCTCAGCTCCTGAGGCCTCTTCTAGTCTCTGAGCCCCCTTGGATAGAAAGCTGTGGGGGCGGGGAGTTAGTTCACAGTTGGGGAGACTGAGTCAAAGAGTGACAGTGCCACAGTGGGAGAAAAATTTAAACCTACAAATGAGTGAATCCCTTAGAAGCCGTTTCGGATTCATTTGATGACTAGGCCCAGTGCCAGCGTGGGGCTCAGTTAGGATCACTAAGATCAGATCCCTGCCTTGAAGGATGAACAGAATTAATGGGAGTTTGCAACGTAGAAGGTGAGGGTCATTCCAGGCAGACGAAATACCATGTTTCAAGGCCTAAGGATGTTTAGGGCTTGGCCTCTTTGGAGAATGGCAGATCAGTGTAGTGGGAACACAGTGGGGTGGGGTGGGGAGAGGAGTAAGGAGGAGAAGTCAGCTGAGCCAAAGGGGAAGCCTTGATAAAACAAACCTTTGTGCCATTTACCAATTCAGGTGAATGAGGAGATGAGACCCAGCCTCCAGGTACCACCGTCTCACACATCAGATGCCCAAACCCAGTGCTTTGGCAAGAAAGCTCAGGGATGAAGAGAAAGGGGCGATCGCAGAGCTGGCCCAGACAGTCTGTCACTTGGATCCCTGACAGCCCTTACCTCCCAGGTTCGGATGGGGCTGAGAACTGGATAGAAAGTTGGACTGGAGGAACTTCGAGGCCCTCCCACCCTGTGTTCCGTGGTTCTGATTGATGCTGAGAATTATTTTAGGGATTGAAAAAGGACAAAACCTAAACTAATACTTCTCTCTTTGAATAGCAACCTGTAGTCAAGACGGCTCCTTCCCAGACAGCCCACTCCTGATTCTGGCTGCAGGCCTCAGGGGTACATGGGGACTATTGTTTTATCTTGTTCATGGGGAGCCAAGGCCCTGAGGCCCCGTGGCCTGCTGCATGACCAGAACTGAGGTCCAGGCCTTCTGGTGTCTCCTGTCTGACCTGATGGACTGTAACTCCTGCAGGGCAGGGGCTGTGTTTTCACCCCCAGGGTCCTAGGCCTGTCCGCAGCTATCAGCGCATTCAGTGAATGAATGAATAAGAGCAGGACCAGGTTAAGAGAGGCCGTTGGGGCAGTGAGAGCTGAGAGCTAGAGACAGAGCTGGGTGCTGAGCACTGGGTGAGCCTGAGTGGGGCAGCTGACTGACCGGGGATGGTGGGAAAAGAGGGGTGGCCGGGGACAAAGCTGGTGCATGCCCAGCCCACATGGGAACAGGGGTTTCAGGTCTAGTCTGCCCCAGGCCTGAGTTCCTGTGGACCATCTTAGTGGGGGGCCTACAGAGCAGAGGCCAGGCCCTCAGACATGCCCTCCCTGCTCACTCTTGGCTGCCAGAAGAAGGAAATTTGGCTGGAGAGAAGATAACTCAGGAGCCGGCAGCTGCTCCTAAGCAGAATGGAATGGCCGCCTCTCAAACACGTCAGTCATTTGAAAGCTCTTTCCTCAAACTCTTCCATACCTATTGTTTCCCTGAAGCAGCCTGGTCAGGGGGGTGTTACCATCATACCCATTTTACAGAGGAGGAAACGGAGAGTCAAAAGGGCGAAGTAAGTGGCAGAACCCAGGGAGGACCCAGGACGTCTGATCCCATATCTAGAGCTCTTTTCTAAGCGTCTTAGATGGCACAGCACGGAAAGCCGAGCTGCATTTCAACCAGCTGGTCTTGTCTACGTGGGCCACTGCCAACGGGCACAACTCTCCAGAGAGCTCCCTCAGCCGATCTGGCACCGAGCTTCACTCCAGGGAACAGAGGAGCTTGGGGCCAGCATCTCCCTCTGACTGGTCACCAGTGTCTCATTTCTCCCTGCAGCGATTTGCTTGAACACCAGTGGTTGTGTGTGCCAGGAGACGTTGTGGAGTATTCTAGAATGGGTCAGTTCCCTCTGAATTACTGTTAGGGATGCTCTTTTTGGGTGTCTATACTTAACTGCTGGATGCAGCAGGTGAATGACTGAGGCAGGTCTGGTTGTTATAAAAAAGTCTTTCTGGAAACCTGCTTGCCATCTGCCCAACCCCTTCCCCAGGAGCTCTGCCTGTGGCCACCTGCTGCAGATGCCGAGCCTGGAAGTGGATTTCTCCACTTAGCCCAGATGGCATGGGTTGCAAATAGGCTAATCCCTGTGTGGTCAGCTGAGGCCGAAGGGCCAGCCCCACTGCTCAAAGAAAAAGGTGGGCATCAGACAGGTGCTTGCCCAGTTGACCAGGAGGAGAGAAAGGGGCTTTCAGGATTAAGCGACCAGGGCTGGGGTGAGGTTCTGTGAGCTGGGGCCGCCGTGCCTCGGCCCCCTCCACTAATGCCACGCAGACCTCTTTACGACTGGGCTTTGGTTTCCCTGCCTGCAAATGGGACAGGTTTGTGCAGCCTGGGACTGTCCTGTCATAGCTGCAGCAACACAGCGACCTGCAGCTAAACAGCCAAGTACTGTGCTGTCTGTCCAACACAGGGACACATTGCACAGATGAAAGGGCGCACTTGCTTCTTTCTACAGCCAGCAGGAGTGGCAGGTGGCACGCGGCGATCCAGGGTGCTGCAGAGAAGGCAGTCATGTGGCTGGTGTGGGAAGCAACAGGTGGCCTGACTCACACCGTCCTCCCCCTCCCGCCAACAGGGGCACTGCAACCCCTCCACCCCTGCCTGTCCCTGTGCACAACAGGCCTCCCTGTGAACAACCCAGGGCCTTGTGCCCAGGGAGGGCTGACTAAGGGGTGGCGTGGTGCTGGGGCTGCTGCTGGAGAGTTCCGGGGAGGGCTGCCCCATGGTCTCACCTCTTCCTCCTGACACAGGTGCAGATGTGCGTCCAGCCTGGGCCCCAGTGCTCACTTTGCTTTTTAATCTGGTGGCGTTCTCTCAGCTCTGCCCCCACCCCACTCCCACCCTCAGACCACTCTTGGGAGAGAAGGAGCCATGTCTAGTGGGGAGTCCCCTGGCCTTTGGTCAAAGGCTGCCTGGGATGTCCCTGGCCCAGAAGGCGGGGCTGTGCCCAGGCACAGAGGCAGAGGTGGGTGGGCAAAAAGCAGAGGTAAGCGTGGCCTTGCCTTTCCCTACTTAAAACCCTCAGGAGCTGCCCACTGTCCTCTTGGTGAAGGCCAGCCTCACCTCCTTGGCTCTGCCTGTCTCTCCTGTCTCAGCTCCTGCACACACTCTGGGCTCCAGCCTCATGGAGCTTCTGTCTGTTTCCAAGTTCCAGCTCCTCTCCCAGCCTTGGGCATCCTGTCCCCTCTGCCTGCTTTGTCCTCACTGCCTCACCTTGTCCTCACCGCCTCACCCTGCTCCCTCTTGCTGGTCCCTCAGGTTTCACCTCAGTGTCACCTCCACCAGGAAGCCTTCCCCGATCGTGCCCCTCCCCGTCCAACCTGGGTGAGGGTGCTGCTTCTGTAGCTTGCATGCTTCACTGGTCCCCATCCTTATCATATCACACCGCTGTCCTACTTGTCTGCCCACAGCTCCTCCTGCCCCATCAATGTGGGCTCCTTGAGAACAGGGCTGGGGTTCCCCCCAGCCCATAGATCATAGTAAATGGTTGCTGGATGCCTGAGTGGGAAGGAGGATAGGAAGAGAACTGACAGAGGGGGAGGCTGGCGGGGCTCACAGGATCCCTGCCCACAGATAGATCTGTGAGAAGCCAACAGTATCCCCGTCATGCTGGGGCCCAGAGAGCTACGGTCTGCCCAGTTTCTAGGAGCCACCCTGGGTCTTCCAGGCTGCAGACCCCACCCCCACCCTGTGCCCAAGGAAACCAACTTGCAGGAGGGAGAGGAGAGGAGGAGGAGCCAGGAAGGCTCTGCTTGGCTGGGCCCCTCAGCCCTGGGTCCCCCTGAGCCCAGGGGTGGGGTCCTCCCTTCTGCCTCCCCAGGACCCCTGCAGGGAGAGGGCTGCGCACCCCACAAAGGCACTGTTACATTGGCAAGTCCCAGGAGAGACAGACATGGAAACCCGGGGACCCTGATCTTCAAGAAACCACAATGGCCAGTCAGGCCAGGGGCAGATGGCTACTCAGGAAAAGCCTCTTTGCCCCAACCCTGCTAGAACTTTTCCAATCCATCCTCCCCACCCTGCCCTATCCCCACCAGCCCAGAGCTGGGGTCCCCCTAAGACAGGGGCTTCCCTACCTCGGAAAGTCACTTTGGCGATCCGGTCGCCCCTGCCCCGCAGCTCTGAGACCGTCTTGAGGTGGACGAGCAGAGCCATGCTGGTGTGGAGAGCCTGGGCGCTGCCTGGCGGGAGCAGCCAGTGAAGGATCCGGCGGCTGGAGCGCAGCTCACACGCCTCCCTCCTCTGCGCCTCCTCCCCCTGCGCCCCCTCTGATGCTGCCCACAGAGACCAAGGCAACCTAGCAGAGCTGCTCCTTCCAGCGACTCACGGAGACTCGCAGCCCTGCCAGCCCCCGCCCCTCCAAATTGTCAGCCCAGCGTGTGTGTATCTGTGTGTGTGTGTGTGTTGTGCACCCAGCGTGCAGCCTGGGAGTGCAGACACAGAGTCCGAATTCATTATTCAGCAGCCGCCTGCTCCCAGATAAAGCCCTGCCCAGCTCCAGGTGCCTTCTCCCAGCTCCTGGGGCAGAGCCGCCTGCCCACCTCTCAGCGGGACTCTGCCGTGCCCTGCTAGGCAAGCTGTTCTGCCACCAGGAGTGGGCAGATGGGAGTGGGTGGGTATGAGTGGGGAAGGGGTGGCCGTGTGGCTGAGGCACCCCCTCCCACGGGGGAGAAGGAACTTCATGATCCCTGTGCACAGAAAGCTGGACTGGCCCCGGTGTTTTGGGGTGATCCATACCTCTTCCCTCACAGTCAAGTTGGCCACCAGGGCTGCAGATGCCCATGAGGCTCAGGGGGGCTGGCTGCTCTGGATGGGTCACACGTGCTGTGTGGAAATCCCAACCCAGGGTCCCCCAGCTGGAAAATCAGCATCTGCCAGACAACATCAAGGCTGCGCCTGGTGACTGGTGTCAGAAATGGGAGCCCTAAGAGAATAGGGGAATGTACTTCCACTGCCTGCTTTCGTGGAGATTGTGCCCCCAAAAGGCCTGGTCCTGACCCCCTGCTCTGGGAGGTTGGAGGTGCTGCTCGACGAGAGTTCAGGAGCCAGGCTCATGACTGGAGATGCCTGGCTGTGAAGGTCTCAGAGGCTTACATTCTACCGAGGGCAATGCTGAAGGTGCAGGCACTAACCTAGCCCTGTCCCTGGGCCCGGGGATGCAGAAGGCTAGGGGTGGTGAGATGGGCTGGAGTGGCTGCTAGGGGTCGGAGAAGGGATGTGTGTGGTAGAATTTCCAAGGGCCAAAGGAGAACTGCCTCCTCCTTTCTTCCAGCAACAGACCCCAGGAAGAGCTCATAGGGAAAGGGACCCTGGAGGCTGGCTGGCATCCCTGAACCTGGAGCCTTTTCAGGGCATCCTTGCTCTTGCTGTTTGCTCTGCACAGAATGCCCCTACCCCACCCTGACTTCTTGCCTGGACTCAGGCCAACTGGTGCCCATTCCCAGAAATGCCTCTGCGCCCAGGCTGGGTTAGGGTCCTGTCTGTGCTGCCCCCGCCCCTCCCATCTCACTCCTTCACTGGGTTGCTTCACTTCCCTCCCCTCCTCCCCATCGGGGGACCCTGAAGCACTGCACCTCGGCATCCCCGGGGCCTTGCACTGTATCGTGTGTGTAGAAGGATGCCCACTGAATGTTGACAGGACAACAGGGTGAGCCTGGGGACTTACGTGGAACAGAGTCTAAAGGTTCAAAAAGAGAAATATTAAATTTTCACAGCATGCTAACAAGAGATTACTCCCTTTGATTCTACAGCTCAAGGGACCTGCAGGATGACAAGAGCCCTCTTCCCTCCTTCGAGATGTTTCCCTGCTACTTTGCCCTATTTTTGTCTCTTTCTAATTATGTTCTATCTCTTTCTCCCTCTCTCCTTCCTCAATTCCTACTCTCTTTTCTCACTTTTATCTAGCCATGTTGCATTAAAGAATATTTTAGAATATTGTATTTATTGAATACAAGTGAATGTCTAAATTTTTTTAAAAACCAGTTCAACGTCTTGTTTTTAAGCAACTAAATTCACTAGCACGTTCCATCCATGAGGTAGTCAGGTGATGTGTGTTCGTAAGGATCGGTGGCAAGTGATAGGATGAAAACCCACCTCCTCCCTGAGCCCTCTGGAGGTTCTCTCCTGGAAGGCGTTTCATGAGGCCTCCTGTAGACCTGTGCATGTTTGGGAGCAAGCCTGTGAGCTTGCCCTGAGCAAGGCATTGAGCTTTGCTGAACCTCAGTTTCCAGAGCTATGAAACAGTAGCAATTCCATCCCGCCAACATAGCACCCCCTAGCTGAGCCAGCCCACCTTCTGAAACCTAAGCCAGATCCCACTTTTTAATTTCCACTCTCCTGACGTTTCCCATCTCAACAACCCTTAGTATAAAATTCATTCAAAGAACATGCACTAAATGCCTTCTAGTCCCAGGTGCTGGGGATTCAGGGACAAATATGATACAGTACTGGACCTCAAGCAGAAGAGACAGATGGACTAGAAGACAGGGACACAGGGTGATGGGTCCACGGGCAGAGTCAGCTGGAAGCCATGAGTGGGGGAGGGAGTGAGTCCTCGACCTCTCCTGGTGGCAGCAGTGGGGGTCCTCAGGAACAACTTCCGGAGTATGGCACACCTGAATTGACGGTGGTTCTTTAACAACTTTTCCTAATGGTTTCCTTATTGCAGCCCGGGTTCCGCATGGGGAATTTAGAAACATACAGATACGACCACATTTTGAAGGATGAGTGGAGAGTCCTTCCACCTCCTTTGCAGCCACTCATTCCTCTTCAGTTCCTTTCCCCCAGGCCTCAGTTTTCCTACTTCCTGCAACTCTGGAAGCCTACAGCTCCCCCCAATTCCACTGTTATCTGTCAGAGGAAGTCTTTTGAGAGTTCTGGTTGCAACAGCTTCCTGTGAGCTCATTAGTGTGTGTGGTCTTCACCACATGCCATTTACAGAGTCAAACTGTGAGAACGACACTTCTCATTCGACAGGGTGAAACAAGACTGCAAAGGACGAGGGTGAACTGCCCAGCGCTCTTACTGATGCCAGGACTGTGGAAGGGGAGCTGAAGGGAGCAGGTTGGGGTCCAAGTCACAAAGAGCTTGGCGCCTTGGAGGCTGTCATCACATGTTACCTCCCAATTAAGGACCTAAGGCCCTGCCCTGCCCTACACAAGGCCCAGGGCTGATGTGAAGGTCACTGGAGAAATCCTGGCGGGCGTGGGGTCACCAACCACTTACAGGAGACAGGCATTATTACAAAGAAAACCTCACCCGGAATTCCGAAGGTTTGCGCTCTGGAGCAAACACGCCAAGTCTGTGCATTGGCAGGCCCCACCGAACTGCGGAATTGGGCACCAACGTAAATCACACCCCCAGACCTTTTCACGATTTGCTTTCTGCCTCTTACTTATAAGCCACTTTTGTGGAGTATTTTCACGGGTAAGACGAGGTGAGAAGGAAGCTCTCAGGGAGAGTCAGAGATTAAAAGGAGAAAACGCCGCCCCTTGGGGATCTGGGGCGCGGCGGGCAGCACAGGGGAGGAATGGCTCCTGGGGCCCCTGCGCCGCCTCCAAAGCGAGGGCGTCCCAAGCCCGGTCACCGCGAGTCCTGCAGCGGACAGGACACTTAGGGCGCATCCAGCCGGGCCTCCCCGCCGAGTTTCCACCTCTGTCCCACATCTGAGCGTCACCACACCCCGGCCGGCGGTGAAGCTCGGAGATGAGCCCATTCCTGGATGTGAAAGCTGAACTTGGGCGGCAGCGGCGATCTGCGGGGTCCACAGCAGAGCACGCGGGGATGCGGGGCATCTTCTGGGCGCGCCCTGCCGGGGCTGCTCTAGGAAGAGGACGGCGAGCGGGGCGCGGGGCCGAGAACTCGGCGGCAGTGCGGCCCCACTGGCGTTACCAGGCGCGCGGTTGCCGGGTGACCCCGGGCTGTTTACCGTCCGGCCGAGAGCGCCCGAGCGCGGGGGCTCGCCGCACCCACCATGGCCTCTCGCAGCGCAGGCACCCTCCCGACCGAGTTCAATGCCGCCTACGTGCCCCTCGGCCTCGTGCCCGGGTAAGGCCGCCGCCCACCCGCGCCCCGCCTGAACCTGCCGGTCAGAGTCCCTGGGGGCGTCCCCCTTCCCCCTGCGCAAAACCCCTCGTCGGTGGTCGAAAGCCGCCCCCGCGCCTTCGGGGTTTGAAGGCACCCGGGCGCCAATTTTTCGCCCGGCTCTGTGGGCTTCGCGGGGTTGCACGCTCTCAGAGCAGGCAGTGGCTGAGCGCGCGCGGGGGCTGCCGATCCCCCTTCGTGGGACGTCGGTCCCTAGTAGCGCCGAGCCCACCCAGACAACAGTGGATGGGGTCCGGGTAAGCGGGAGGAGAGGCAGACACCGCGCTGGCTCGGGGCTTTGGAGACTCGCAGGCGGGAGCGAGAGTGGGAGGAGTCCCGAGATAGGAGCAGGCTCTTCCAGCCCGCAGCACCCGGCGGGGCGCCGAGGATTAGCGCGAAATAAGTATTTGTCGGTTCAAGGAGCGCAGGAGACCGGGGAGGCGGTCCCCGGGGTGGGGGGTGTCGAAGAATCTGGCGAGGCAGGATGAGCAGTAATGTGTAGTAGGGTGCACTATCTGCTGTGGTCAGTTCTCCCACTGATCTCGGTTAATCCTCCCAGAATGCTGGCTTTGAAAGCATGCCAGCCCCTAGAGCTGCCTTGCCTTCAGCGTTTTCAGACGTGGGGCCAAACCTCCCTTTCCTTTCTCTGGGTGTTTTCAAACCCCAAACATGGAAGATGCAAGTCTGACTGTTGCCTTCCATTCTTTGGCCCTTTCTCCCAAAGTGTCCGAGATTTCCACTCCCAACCTGCTCTTCTGGGGTGTACGATTGTCTTCTCTCTCCTTCAACGAGGGCATCGAGGGCGGAGGTAGATTCTAAGCAACCTGCACAGTATCAGCACATCTGTATAGAATGAATGAATGAAATTAATGTCTCGAGAATTCTGCGGGCAGGGTCTCCATGTGGGTGAAAAAAAACCTACTTGCTCTCTCCTGCAAACCCAACAGACTGCCAAAGGAGAAAAAGACCTCACAGTATATTTTGTATGAAGGTTGGATTGTTTTGAAGCTGAATAATCAAGACCTGTAATATTAAAATCATTTCTGCACACGGAAGTAGTGTGGTAACTAGGGGCTGGTGCTGTGGTTTTATTCCGGCCTCTTTGCAGACAGGACCTTTCTCTGGGCCTTGGGGAGCTCAAACACTACCTCCATTCCCATCAGACAAAGCTGATTCATCAGGTCTTCCGGAAGTCAACCCAGGTGTGTTAGGAAAGGTGACTTAGGATTTTCCTATTAATTCTTTCATTCCTTCCTTGAGTGCTTGGGATGTCCCAGGTGTTGTGTTAAGACAAACAAGTAGGGGGCTGCCTTTGAGGGGCTCCCAGTCTGGTGCAAATACAAAAGGTTTGGTTCAAAGCCATCTTTGCAGCCTTGGATAGATTCTGGGTTTTTATCATGAGGTTTGATTTTATACACTGATATGTTTTTTTCTTAAGACCCCCACTGTCTCCACTTGGCGCCTAACCCTCCCCCACGGCTCCCCCACTCTGTCCCGGGCTGTGGGGGAGGGAGCTGCATGTTTCAGAAGCAATCCCAGGATGCTTGTCTGTCAGTGCCACTTGTCGGCAGTTCCCTGGAGCTCCCTGTCCTGTGATTGATCTAGAAATTGTGATAACAAGTGAATCATAAATGAGGCTCCAAGCCCGGACGAGCGAGTTTGAACGGCTGAGCCTGTATCTGCTGCTTTCTCAGCTGGATCTTTCTGGGAGGGATATGCTCTCCTTAAAAATCCCCAACGATGAGGAATGAATTGAGTCGTCTTATGTTTCTAAATGCTACCTCATTGGCAATTTTGTTAATTCAATGAAAGAATCCAAGACTCCCCTCCACACTTGGATAATTATTATTTTTGTGTGTCTTTTAAAACGTTAATCGCAGGATTTTCAGCACAGCCAGTCTCTTCTGACACTCAAATCATCCCCTTACCATTTAGTTCAGAGAGGCAGAGAATACTGACAGTGGTAAGGACCTCCAAGATCATGTAGCCCAGCCCCCTCCCATTCCAGATGCCATCACTGAGGTCTGAGGGGAACTTGCCTGAGCCCCAGGCTGGTGATGGAAGAGCTGGGCTGGAACCAGGTTCCTGACGCCCCGTAGTATTGGCCTGAGCCCCCATGTATGAGCACTGACTGTGTGCCACTGTGCTGTGCTCTTTACAAACTTAAAAAAAAAAAAAATCTTCACAACAACCCAGATGCGAAATGAGCAGCTTGCCAAGGTCATTCAGCAAGTTGCCCAGCCATGTCTTTGTGACTTCAAAACCCCGGCTCCTCCACCCCTCCAATTGTTAGCTATTATGGTTACTTTGATCCTGCAGCGTTCAAGGCCTGATTCTAGGTACCAAGGGAAATAGAACGCTGGTCTTCAGACTAGGCAGCCAGGGTGCTCTGTCTGGTCTCTTGCTGTTCCAGGTGGCACAGCCCTCAGGCACCTTGCCACTGTCTGGCCTGTGTGCCATCCCTGCAGTGAGCAGGGAACTCTTGGGTTGGAGTTCCTGGGACTGTAAGGCTTTGTAATGAGTGAGACTGGCCTCAGTGAGACTCTGTGCCTCCTCCTTGCAGGTCAGATCTCGGTGGTATCCATCCCCTTGCTCTCTGCCTCCCATCACACCTCGCTAGGCTCTCAGTCCAGAACTTGACCTGCCATTCTGCGTTCATTCGTGCCCAACTGCTGCTGCCCCTGGGGCGCAGAGCTCCTGCCCAGAGCTCTCACCAGGAGTGAGGGTGGGGGGACTTGCGCCCCAGCGCCCCTCTCCATCTGCCTGGGACGGCAGCTGCTGAGCTGGGTCTGGGCCTCAGGGACCTTGGGACCCTAAAACCAGCGCATTCCACACCTGCCATTGTCAAGAGGGTGGTCCTACGAAGGTGGCTGTGTCCCTTTCGCCAGAATCCCAGTACAATAGACCTGCACACCCAGTGGTGCACTGGTCAATGTCTAACAACCAGCTCTCTGGAGGGAAGAAGCCTTGATCTGGAGCATTCACCCATTTTCTGTGGGATAAATGTTCCTGCCGTAGCTGACTTCAAGCTGTCAACACGGTGTCACGCGCAGAGTTGGGAAGAAATGTGCTGTGGCACATCACTGCACAGTAATTCCCCCATCCAGACATGGCAGACGTGAATAACCTCAAGAACACAGACAATAGTAAAACATAATTACAGCATTAGGTAGTGGTGCATTTTGAATATTTATCACCTTTGTTTTCCATATAATTTCTTTAATTGTAACTTTATATAATTTAATTATTAATACTGGCTCGTTTAACAATGGGCTCACAAAAATCCTCAAGATTTAGTAATCGGCTCTCTTGAGCCAGTATGAGCCAGTCCCAGCTGCCTCGTACACACCACCATCTGCTCCTGCTGGCTTCTTCAGGCCTGAGACCTCACGTCTCAGGGTGAGAGCCATGTGGGCCAGGCGAGGGGAAAGGAGGATCTGGCCGTTGCATTTCCGGAGCCCCTTCCGTTTCAGCCCAGGCCCTGTCACTGGAGGTGCCGCCCCGAAGACAGGCCAGGGCATCTGGGGCACGAAACAAAGGCCACCTGCCCCGGAGGAAGTAGGAGACCCCGTGTGCCCAGATAGGTAATGATGCCTCACGCACGCACCACCCCTGAGGAATTCAGGGGCCTTCCTAGGAAGAGGGGGTCAGGGGCCCCTGGAGACCTGGGCTTTGTAACAGGGACCCTCCTTCTCTCCAGAAGAATCACCAGCCCTTAAAAATGTGCCTTCATTTGTCAGTTCAATTCAACAAATATTTGCAGAGCGTCTACTGAGCGCCAGGAATGCCAGGGATGCAAATAGGAGTAGAATTCAGCCCTCTCTCCCTGCAGAGCTTATAATTCAGGAGGAAAGACTATGCTAAAGGCCCGGAGAACTACAGCACAGCCGAGGGTGACTGGAGACGTGAGGACACACAGAGTGAAGGCAGTTCAGTGGAGGGGACAGGCATGGTCTATGGGTGGGTCAGAAGAGGCTCCAGAAAAGGGGTACTTGAGACGTACCTTGAAGGATGGGTAAGATCACAGTGGGAGGAGAGAGGTGGGTTCCGGATGGAGGGGACGGCCTAAGGAGAGGCTTAGGGTGCAGGTACTGGCAGCTTATGCTTCCAAAGCAGCAAGTGGCCTGTTTGGCTGGAGTGGAAAAGCTGCGACCTGGAAGTAGATGATAAGACTAGAAAGACCTCTCACTGGGCCCATGTCAAACGGGACCTTGAGTGCCTGGCCCGGTTCGTTCTTAATTTCACAGGCAATGGGGAGCCCTTGAAAGTTTTTGCCCAGGGGAAGGGTCTGATCAGAACCGTACGCAGCAGAAAGTGTTGTGGAGAAGAGGGTGCCTGTGGAATGAGGACACGTTGAATAGTAACAAGTTAATTAGTTAATAAGGCTGCTCATGGGATCCCGGATGGCTCATGGTAATTAATTTTAATGTTAGCTATGGGGCCAACCATTGCTATTAAGAGGCAGGGAGGGACGGCTCGCTGTACGCACTGGAACCACAATGGACTTTAGCATGCACACGGGATCGTCACCGAGGGACCAGCTCAGCACAGTCTCCTGGCTTGTGTGATATGCTGGTGGGCGAGTGGCAGGGACAGGTGAAAGGGTCAAGGAGGAGGGGTGGCAGTGCCATAGGGACTATTTGGTGCCCGGTTATGAAACCTGCCACTCCCCTCTGTTCTCTGCAGCTTTGCCCGCCACACAAACAACACAAATGGGCCTCGGGAAGGCTCTTCTATGGAACTGCATGGGGTCATGCCCAAGATACACAAATGCAACTGCATACAACAGACAGACTGAGCCAGCCATGGCCTCCCCGCTGAGTGCTAACTAAGTGAACCTGTGCACGTGCGAGCATCACACAGACCCTCCCTGAGCAGCAAGTTCTGAACGGAATCCGGAATCCAAGACCGAGTTTAGGATTGCGGAGGAGAGGTCTATTCTATTGGGATGCAAATATCTCGGC